TCTGTTTTGGTATAATTCTATGGATCATTATACTTTTATATGGAAATAAAATATATTTTATGGCAATTTCTCCAGTTAACACCAAAGAAAGAATCTGCGACCAAATCAGCCTTATTGCAACCTTTAACATGTGATGAGAATAATGGTAGTGTGAAAGATTGAAATACTTTCTAAACGCACGTAGCCTCTGTTTGGTTTTGGGAAGGAAAAAAATAGTCTAGTTTAGGTTAAAATTTACAAAAAGATAAAATAGACTAAAATAGTTAATAAGATAAAATATTACATTAAACCCATAATCATTTCACTTTTTCTCTCACAAATATCACATCCAACCATAAAAAAATCCAATCATCTTCCCAAACACAAAAATTTTAGCCTACAAAAATAGTCAAAAATTAAAATAGCCTACTAAAATAGCAACTTCCCAAACGAAGCCATTGTAGTTGGGGGCTAAAATAGTCACATGCGTCCAAAATTAGTTAAAGTAGTCACTAGAAGACAAAACGAGTAATTCTATTTCCACACACCAAAATATCTCACTCCACATGCTCTCTCAATACACACATCAACTAATTTTGAATGTTGTAATTTTACTCAATACACAATTTTTTTTACCAAAAATATCCTTCTCTTTAACATTGAAATCCTAAACCAACACACATTCTCTAGTTGGTGAAGAGTAGTTCTTCAAGCATTCCGACAATGGCCCGGTGCAAAAAAATCTTCCGACTGCAAAAATGAAACATATGTATAAATTGGGACACACAAGCAAACAAATAATACATTACCATAAAGATATTAACAAATCAATCCAAAAACCATACGTATAAATTGAGACACACAAGCAAACAAATAATGCATCACCATAAAGATATTAACAAATCAATCCAAAAATTCACTCAGTACGAAAAAAAAAAATTGAATTGAAAGAATATTTACCACTAGATCCTTTGTTTTTGGATGTTTTTTCCGTTGAGAATAGAATTCCTGTATAGTAGTGAAAATGTGCATGTATGAGATAGCCACATAGGAAAAAAATAAAAAAGAAAATTAAAAAAAAAAGAAAAGGAAAAAAAAAAGAAAAAAAGAAGAAGAAGAAGTGAAACAGTAAAAATGGCATATTGTGAATAGTCTTTTCAACAATGAAAACAAAACTGTAATAAAAAGCTCTTGAAAACAAATATATAAACAATGTATTAGGAAAATTCCCACTCAATTGGTTAGTGTTGAGATCAAGAGATTGCAATGAACTTAGATTTCCAAAATTGTAATAGCGACGGCAATAGCGGTGGGCGGTAGTTAGGGTTAGGGTTAAGAAATTAGGATTTTGGTAGATAAGATAAGGATACTTTATTAATTTTATTTTAAAACAAAACTGTAATAAAAAAATAAATCATTAAGTGTGTGTACAGAGATAAGTAGGCGTGTGGAAATAAAATTTTCCAGACAAAACACCATCATTTGCCCACAAATAACTCAACATTTGATGAATTTACCAAACTAACCCAAAGCATTTCCTATCTCACTTTCACAGACAAAACACCATCATTTGCCCACAAATAACTCAACATTTGATGAATTTACCAAACTAACCCAAAGCATTTCCTATCTCACTTTCACAGAAGCACCAATTCGTACTACTAGCAGACAAAATAGCCCCATCATTGTCCACATCATCTTAAAATAAAAATATAAAAAATCATTTTCCAAAAAATAAAACAAATAAAAAAAAGGCATAAAAATAAAATCAAAATTACTATTTTTCACGTCATTAAAAATAGAAAACATGAAAAAGTGTTTTCCAAAAAAAAAAAAACAAAAATTAAATAAAAAAAAGACATAAAATAAAACCAAAATTAGCATTTTTCATGTCATTTAAAATAAAAAACATGAAAAAGCGTTTTTAAAAAAAAATCAAAAATCAAAAATAAAAAAGTCAATAAAATAAAATCAAAATTAATATTTTTCATGTCATTTAAAAAAAACATAAAAAATCATTTTCCAAAAACAAAAAACAAATTAAAACAAAAAAAACCGAAATTATCATTTTTCAGGTAATGTGAAAAAAAAAACCAACATAATAAAGCCTTTTCCAACAAAGAAAACAAATAAAAAAAAATTAAAATGAAACTGAAATAAGCTGTGTCAATGTCATTTAAAATTAAAAAACAAGAAAAAACCTTTTCAAAAAAAAAAAAACTAAACAAAAAAAAAAGTCAATAAAATGAAACTGAAATTAGCAGTTTCCACGTCATTTCAAAAAAAAAATGAAAAAGCTTTTTCCAAAATAAAAAAAACAAATTAATATATATATATATATATATAAAAAGAAGACAACAACATAACACTCAAATTTACATTATCCACGTCATGTTAAAAAAAAACATAAAAAAGCTTTTTGCCAAACCCACAAAAAAAAAAAAAAAAAAAACAAAATTAAAAAAAAAAAAAAAAAAAAATTAAAATTTTTTTTTTTTTTTTTTTTTTTTTTTTTTCTTTG